TTTTTTTTCCTATGGTGGTTGTGTTTTTGCAAAGTTGCCATGTGTTGCATTTCATTTGATCTATAGTTTCATCACAGCTTTTAGGAGAATCTGCCCATTCAATGGTATGCATGGCTTTGTGTTCATTCGAGGGCTCATGGGCTCACTCTCTTCCCAGCCCCGGCCCCCCCTCCATAACTCACACAGCAGGAGAGTGCTGGGCATATGGTTTTCATGCTGCTGGATCATTGGAATGACAAGAATTTTCAGGATGCCAGATTACAGTAATTCGGTAGAAGAGAAATTTCTTTCCATTGCTTATTGCATTTCAGATACTTCAGTGAAGTCAGGAGACGGATTTGACCACCAAATCTTTTGACTTTTGGTCAGAATGTATATATTAGAGGTAGGACCTTTCAGAGCCACTAAGGGGACCAGTAAGTGTGAGTTAGTAAGAAGGGAGGTGGGTACTGAATCCATTTATTGTTCTTATTGCCCAGTTTTGTTTACTTAATAAAAGAAGAGAGAAACATCAGATATATTTGTAGGCTTACTTTTCAGCCAGATATATGATAATTATTTGCTATATAATAAGATGTTTCATACTTTGTTTTTAATAATGTTCAAGAGGATTGTTACTAAATCTGCTTTGTAAATACACAGCCATAAGCCTGAGTTGAAACAGATAATGGCACAGGGGTAGAAACTAACCTTTTTTTCTTCTTCCTTTCTTCCTTCTTTCTACCTTTTTTTTTTTAAAGAAATATTTTATTGACTTCTTAAATGGTGTTAGACATTAAAGAACTGTATATTTCTCTTAGGCATCTATTACATCCTCAAGCCTAGTTCATGGTATAATAACTCAGACAGATTTCCCAACTTCCCCTCCCCTCCCCCATCTCCAGCTCTGTGGAGGTTTTGTTCCCTTTATTCTTTTTGAGTCCCAAAGTAATGTTTTCCTTTTTGGTTGGAGGCACAGAGTAGATGCTCTGCTTATTTTAATAAGCTTTAAATATTAAAAAAAAATATTTATGCATACACAACTGGGGTGCAGGGGTGGTATGAAGATTGACTAGAGACAAATTGTGGGGAGCAGAACAGGCAGATTGATGAAGTACATTGCTAAGGGGTGCAGTGGGTGGGACAGGAGATGTCTCAAGGGCCATGTGGGTCACCTTCAGGGTTGAGGATTTAACTCTCACTGAAGTGGCTGCAGCTCGCTTATGGTGCTGTGCTTTAAACCGTTGTGCTACCAGGGAGAGCCCTAATTTTAACTGTTTTTAAAAAACATTTGAGGCCCTCCCTGTTCTGCTTCCCAATCTGTTACTGGTGAAGCCTCTCACTACCCATGCATCTCTGGCTTGTACCCCAGTTCTGTATGCATAAATAAATAAATCTTAAAAAAAATCTGAACTAGCAAATATTCTAAGATAACTCTTATAGGAAATTAAGAGTATTTAACTATATATACATATAGATATTTTCAAAAGGAGTCTATCATTCTGTCTCTTCTGAATGCCAGCGTAGTTTTTCTGTACTCTTCTTAAATGGTTTCCTATAACTGCCTTTGTCTTCCCATTTAGCTTCAAACTCCTTTTGTCTAAGGAGCACAGGGTCATGCCCACAACATCTCTGTACTTCTTAGCTCCTCACTATTTTTTTCCCCAATAGGTGATATTATTTGTTTTTGATGGCATTTGTTTAGCAAATAAGTGTCCATGCTTTCACTAATTCTTTTAGTCACATAAAGTGACATTGTAAATTAAAAAACTCTGGGAATTAAAGAATTAGTTCATTATCTTAGTTAAGAGACTGTTCAGTATTATTTCCTCCATTAGAGTTTACACTAGTACTTAGAAAATTAATGAGTTGTAGTGGGGAAATTTTACTAAATTTTATTTCTGCGACTCTCCATTCTAAAGTATTGGTGCAATTGAGTTTCCCTGGTGGCCTAGGAACTAAGTCTCAGTGCTATCACCACAACATCCTGAGTTCTATTCCAGCCAGGGAACTGACCCACATGGCACAACAGACCTCTTTTGTCTTGCCAGCTGCTCCTCTCAGCAGTGTGTTTCAGTAAATCTGCCTGTTCTGTCCACACACTGTCTCTGGTTAAATCCTCTTACCCCCCTCATTAATAAATAAAGTGTTGCTGAAGTTGAAGACTTGCCTTTTGCAGCATTCTCCCTGGCTTTTACCAATTTTATAAGCTGCTGGTTATTTAAATACCATCTGTGTTGAAGCTCCATTCTGCTGCATTTCCTACAAAACTCATATATACGTTATCACCCACAAATTATTGAGTAGCATATTCTAACTTGCAACCATTGGTTCTTAAAACACCAGAATCCTCTGGAATTGGTGAAGTGTACCTGTTCCTTCCCTTGAACTTTCTCAGTCTGTATGCTTAGGCTGGGACCCGGGCCTCTGTGGTTGCAATATTTACTGTGGATTCTGGAACCACTTCTTGAGAAATATTGCCATTGAGTCCGAATTGTATTTTTTCTTCAAAGATTTATTTATTTTATACATACAGAACTGGGTATAGGCCAGAGGTGTGGGGAATGAGAAGATTCACCAGAGACAAAAGGGGGAGCAGAACAGGCAAATGTACTGAAATACACTGTTGAGGGGAGCAGTGGGCGGGTTAGGAGAGGTCTGCCATGCCATGTGGGTCACCCCCTTGGCAGGGTATCGAACTCGTGCTGCAGTGACTGAGATAGCTTCATAGTGCTGTGCTTTAACCTGTTGTGCCACCAGGGAGGGCCACCTCCAGGGCGGGGGTCGAACTCATGCTGAAGTGGCTTTAGCTTCTTAGTGCTGTGCTTCAGCCTGCTGCATCACCGCACCACCAGGGAGGGCCCAGTGTGTGTGTGTGAGTGTTTTAACAATAATGATTCATCTGAAATTTGTGAGGCATTCTAAATGTGTTTAAAAACTGTGTTTTAAATATGTTTATGAATTCTCTGATACTGCAGAATCAGTAATGATTTATGGGGCTTTGTAGATGTGTAATACTTGGTGATTTCATTAGTCTAGTGTGTTTTAACATGCTATTTAAAACACAGCTTTATTTATGAAAAATTCACATTTATCAGAAAGAACAAATAATGGATTCCAAGATTTACCTTGCTATTAATTTCTCCATGCACAATACTTGTCTTTTTTTGATCCTACATTTTAAAGATTTATTTATGCAAATGAGAGCTAGGGTACAGGCTAGAGGTGTTGGGGGGGGGGCGGCGGTGAGAGGATTCACCAGAATGGGGAGCAGAACTTAATGAATTGACTGAAATACACTACTGAGAGGAACAGTGGGTGAGACAGGAGAGGTCTGCTGTGCTGTGTGGGGCAGCTCCATTTGCCAGGGATCTATCTTAAGTCACAGTGGCTACTGATAGCTTCGTAGAGCTGAGACTCAACCCCTTGAGCCACCAGAGAGATCCTGATCCCACATTTTTTGTGTAACCTTTTATTACAGAAAATTTTCAGGATATTTCTTTAGTAATGGTCAGTGTTTGATGGTGCTAATATTTAACTTGAAACTGGATAGTGCATTGAATTTTCAAATTTCCAGAGAGTTTAAGGAATAATTGCTGTTGCAAATTTTTTATTGATGCTGATTATCTGAAAATAAAAATGAATCGAAAATTTACAGAAATTTAAGAAGAACTTATATAATTCTGGCTAAACGAAGGAGTGATGTATTCCAGGAAAAACATTTGTTATTTCTTGTCTTCTTAATAATAGCTATACTAACTAATGTAATTGTGCTTTTGATTTGCGTTTGCCTTAAGATTAGTGATGTTGAGTATCTTTTCATGTGCCTGTTTGCCATTATGTTTCTTTTTAGAAATCTATTCAGATTCTCTGGCCATTTTTAAATTGCATTGTTTGTATGCCTTTACTATTGAGTTGCATGAATGTTTTGCACATTTTTTGATATCAATTCATTGTCAAATATATGTTTGCAAATATATCTTCCTTTTATTAGGTTGCCTTTTCTTTTTGTTGATTTATTTTATGATGCAGAAATTTTATTTAATGCTTTAGTTTCATTTGTCACACGCTGCTGTCCAATTTATTATAGACAGTCCTCTGCCCATTATATATTCATAAATTCTTTGTTGTATTTTTTTCAAACATTATTAGTTTTTCAGTCATTTACATAATTATATAATTTGGGGAGTACAACTTTATTCCTACATATGTGCATATACATCTCTTTCCCTCCACCAAAACCCTAGCGTTTTGTTATAAATTCATTGACTATAAACGTGGGATTTTACATATGTAGTCTCCACTATGTTCTATTGATCCTTTTTTTTTTTTAAATATCAGTATCATACTATTTTGATTACTATAACTTGATAACAGTTTGAAGTCAGGGCATGCGATGTCTCCATTTTTGCTTTTTGCCTAAATTATTTATAGTCTTGTGATTTCAAACAAATTTTAGGATTATTTTTTGTTCAACTTCTGTGAGTACTGACAATGGAATTTTTTAAAGATTTATTTATTTATGCATCCAGGAACTGGTGTACAGGCCAGAGATGAGGGGGTGAGAGGATTCACCAAGACCGAGTCGGGAGCAGAATAGGCAGATCTACTGAAGTACATTGGTGAGGGGAGCAGCAGGCGGGTCAGGAGAGGTCTGCTGTACTACAGGTGTCACCTCCCTGGCTGGTGCTCGAACTCTTGCTGTAGTGGCTGTGGGTAGCTTCATAGTGCTGTGCTTTTACCCATTTCACCACCAGGGAGGGCGCCTGACACTGGAATTTTGATAGGGGTTTTCTGTAGAAGTTTCTTTATAAATTTGTAGCTAAAATTCTTGAAAATGACCTAATGTATTATTTTCTTCTTCTTTTTTTTAAGGGACTTTCTCCCTCGAGGGTCAGGCATTGTAACGCGGAGGCCTCTTGTGCTACAACTGGTTACTTCCAAAGCAGGTAAGGAATGAGGATATTTGCCACATGGGTGAGTGTGTTCCATGTTTCCTGTTACCTCCATTCCTGGGTGTTGGGTTATAACAACAGAAACATTTTTGTGATCACTCTTGTTAGTAGATGGGAGCATTTCTCCCCACGCCCACCCAGAATGCTTCCTTCTTCTTTGTTCTTTTGATTTCTTTGGTTGCCCTATAGGAAAAGTCTTTCTATGTATATATATATATATTATATTTATATATATATGTATGTATATATATAATTTGTCCTTTACTATTTTAACTCCTGAAAATATAATTTTATATTTGTGATCCAATATATAATTTTAAATTAAAGCAGCACAGCCACTTACACCCCTGTTGTACATATCCTTCCTGTGTGTATCTAATATACTGAGTTTACCTCTCTTTAATCATATGATAAACTTGACAAGCCAGCAAGGTTTGTTTTTATTTTTTATTTCATAGCAACAGGCAATTTTGAATTTTTTATGCTTATTTGGTGTTTGTATTTTCTCCTTTGTTAGTTGCAGACTTTTATCTTCTCCCATTTCTTTCTGAGGATTTTACCATTTTCCCTGTCAATTTCTTGGAAAACTTAAGATTTAAGCATTATAAACTACAAAAGCCAATGTCATGAAAGCTTGCCCGTGTTTTTTCGTAAGAATTGAATAGTTTTGTTCTTGCACCTAGGTATTTTTTTTGAAATATATATATATACATATACATATATATATATATATTTATAACAGTTTATTTTACATTTTTACATTTTTTTTCCATCTCAATTGTAGTCCCCGTGGGTTTCCTATCACCAAGTCACCCATGTGCCATCACCATTATCCCGTGCACTTCCCTCCCCCTTCACCGTTTTTGATCCCATTCCCCACACCACCCCCGCAAAATGTCTCTGGTATATGGGTGTTCATTATTCTTGTTATTTTCTCACCTGGTCCATTATACTCCTACTATGAGTGAAACCATCCGGTATTTTTCTTTCTCTTTCTGGCTTATCTCACTAAGCATGATCTTTTCCAGCTCCATCCAAGTTGCTGCAAAAGACATGTGTTTCTCTTTTTTTGGTTGCTGAGTAATATTCCATTGTATATATGTACCACATCTTTTTAATCCAGTCATCTACTTTTGGGCAATTGTGCTGCTTCCATGTTTTTCCAATTGTAAATAAAGCAGCAATAAACATGGGGGTGCAGTATCTTTTTCAATCAGTGTTTTTGTGTCTTTTGGGTAGATACCTAGGAGTGGGATTGCTGGGTTGTAGGGAAGCTCCATGTTTAGCAGTTTGAGGAACCTCCAAACAGTTTTCCATAGTGGTTGTACTAGTTTGCATTCCCACCAGCAGTGCAGGAGAGTTCCTTTGAAATATTTTTTGATAGACAGTATAAGTGCCCCAATTCACTTTACACATGTGGACATATAGTTGTCCCATGAAAGGACTTCTTCCCCCACTGTATGGATTTGGTACCCTTGTTGAAATCAGTTGGCTATATACTTCTGGAGTCTCAAGTGTATTAAATTGACGTTTGTGTCTGTATTTGTGCTGGTGCCTTACAGTTCCAATCACCCTTGATTGTACTGTTTTAATATTGGGAAGTATGAGTTCCTTTATTTTTTCTTTTTCAAGTTTGTTTTGGCGATCTGAAACTCTGTATAAAAAACTCTGTATGAACATGGGGATCAACTTATTTTATCCCAGGAATTCAAGCTTGATTTAATATGTGAATGTCAGCTGAAGTAATGCATCCTATCAATAGAATGAAAAACAAAAATTGTAGTATCATCTCAATAGCCTCAGAAAAAACAATTAAAAGTATCCCATAACTTGTCATGGTAAAACATTAAAAAACTAGGAATGGCAGGAAACTTCCTCCACCTATGAAGTCATGTGCAAGAGCTCTTAGTGGTGAAAGAATGAATGTTCTCTAAGGTCAGGAACAAAACAATCCATGTTTGCCACTTCTATTCAGTTTTGTACCAGAGTTTGTAGCCACTTGAACAAGAGAAGAAATACAAGAGAAGGCATCCATATTGGATGGTAGGAATAAAATTATCTCTATTTGCAGTTAATATGGTCATGTACATAAAAGTCCCTAGATAATCCATTAAAAACTGTTAGTATTAATAAACAAGTTCAGTAAGATTGCAAGGTACATGATCAATAGACAGAAAAGTAGCTGTATTGTCTTATACTTGCAGTACTTAATAAAAAATGAAAATATGAAAAGAATTTATTTATCATAAAGTCAAAAAGAATATACTACATTGAAATAAAATTAACAATCTATGCAAATCTTATGCACTGAAAATTGAAAAACATTGTTGAAAGCAATTAACGAATATCTAAATAATTTGTAAAATATTCTGTGTTCAGAATTCCTATTATAATTACAGCATGTTTTATTTGTAATGATTTAGGTGATCTTAAGTCATTTTTTAATGTTAAAAAATATATACACATATGATCCAAAAAATGCAGTCATTTGAAAAAAGTAAATTATAAATCTACCATGTACAGTCACTGTTCTAAGCTCTAGAGATATTGCAGTAACTAGGACAAAGTTCCTGTCCTTCTGGTGATTTAGTTGTATAAATTTTATAGTCTGGTTATATAATTTTTAATGTACAAATTTTACCTTTTTATATTTATTGAATCTGGGATAGAGGCTCGAGGTACAGGGGCAGTGAGAGGATTCACCAGAGACTGAGTAGGAAGCAGAACAGGCAGATTGATGGAGTACATTGCTGGGGGGAGCGGTGGCCTGGTTGAGAGTTCTGCTGCACCATGTGGGTCATCTCTGGGTGTGAGGATTGAACTCACTGAAGCTACTGCGGCTAGCTTGTAGTGCTGTGTTCTAACCCACTGTGCCACCGGGGAGGGCCCACTTTTAATCTTCTTAAATATTTAGTAGTTCTTTGAAATTTTCATGTATGCTAAAATATTTTTTTTCTCAGGTTCCTTTGTCTTATGTTACATTTTACTGACTGTATTCCTGAATGTTGTTTTTATTTCATTATACCAATACCTCTATACTTTATTTGAGGGAGGGGTTTATAATTTGCTCTAATATTTAATCTGTTACAACTGTGTTGTGTAGTCCTCCCCTCATTATTTATTTAAGCATTAAAAAAAGATTTATTTATTATACATACAGAATTTGGTACAAGTACACTGCTGAGGGGAGTAGCAGGTGGGTCAGGAGAGGTCTGCCACGTGGATCACCTCTCAGGCAGGGATTGAACTCATGCTGAAGTGGCTTTAGCTTCTTAGTACTTCACCACCAGGGAGGGCCCTGTTATTTATATTTATATTTATTTAGGGATTCTTTTTTTATGTGGAAAAGTTCAGAATAATTTTGTAAAAACAAGTGTATTGCCACTAGAACTATTTTAAACCTGTAGCTTTATTAAAAATATGTGGTATCTTTAAATAGTCATTATTTTTTCGAATCCACAGACCATCCTCCTTCATTTGTTAAAAAATTTTTTTTGTATTTCTTAGTAAAATTCTTGATGTTCTTTATATAACATCCATACCTTTCTATTTAGGGTATTTATATTAATTTTTTGTTGGTACTTTTGTAATTTCACCAATTCAAGAGAATTCCTTTTCTTTCTCTCTGTGTACATCTATCTATTGTTGACTTATGGAAAAGAAAGCTATTTTAGTTAGCATAAAGTTAATTGAGTAAATTTGTTTCTTACTACTTTTACCTATTAGCTTTGAAACCCTTAAAATCCCAGTGACATAATTTAGGTTCTGTTTGCAACTAAGGAGGGCTCTAGCCAGGCTTTTTACAAAAGTTTATGGCTCAGGGATCCAGAGAATAGCCTGGACACTGAAGAGCCTGGATGAGGCTAGATTTGAGCCTGTGGTGGTTCTGGTCAGACGCTTGGAATGTCAGGACCATGTGGATGTTTTGTACCCTAACACAGAGACTTTCTGCCATTAGATCTGGAAACTCTTTTAAAAGGATTTCTAAGCTCAGGATAGGAAATGTGTGGAAAATTATAATAATAAGTAGCTACCATTTTTTGTACATTAATTATGTAGCAGCCCTGTGCACTGTGCCCTTTTACTTAATCTTTACAAGAATCTTCTGAGATAGATATTATGATTTCTATTTTAGGAAAGAGCCCCAGCATAGGTTAGCAGTTTATGTAAGCTTACAACTGTTGATATAAGTGGAGATTAGTATCTTTCGGACACTGTCAATATTGCATCTTTTAAAATAGGAAACACAGACATTATATTTGCAGGACCCACATATTTTTATAGTGTGCTTTCATGTAAAGGAGTATGAATAGGTGGCTAGTAAATATTGGAATTGTTCAGTTTACAATTACTATCTAATTTCCAACATAATGTTCACACGGTAATATGTAATTGCTTATCTCTTCCTGCTCCTGGCTCTATGTCTTATAGACATATAATTTATATATATATTTTTAAAGATTTATTTATTTATTCATACAGAATTGGGGTACAGGTCAGAGATGCAGAGGGTGAGAGGATTTACCAGAGACAGAGCAGGGAGCAGAACAGGCAGATCGAAGAAGTACACTGCTGAGGGGAGCAGCGGGCCGGTCAGAAGTCTGCCATGCCATGGCAGACTCCGCCGGGCCAGGGCAGGCGGGGGATCGAGCTCATGCAGAATTGGCTTAAGCTTCTTAGTGCAGTGCTTTAACCTGCTGTGCCACCAGGGAGGGCCCTAATTTATATAATTTTTAAAGAATATTTAGTACTTTGTACAGAAGAATATTCCAAGAAATCACATAGTATAGTGAGGAAGATGAGAAAAATATCACCTCTGTTAATAAGGTAAAAATTTTAAGTGATAGGATCATAGAAGTTTAGATTCAGAGGAAAGCATTAGAAGGTGTGATGTGGGGGGACAAAAGCCAGACAAAGCATTGATGAGGTGTTGGGCAAGTTCTGTGGGGTCAAGAGTAAAGGAGTAGAGGGAGGCTCTTTATAAGACAAGGGAC